TTCGGCTCGCTTATATATCCCTGGGAGCGATGTTCGAGAACTCTCTAGGCGGCGGCGCAACTGAGTAGCGATCGCACAATTCTAGAACGTGCGTACTAGCTATCTCTTTCGCACATTGCTCCGTCCTTGTCGTACGGCGTTCTAGAGTGCTCGGTCTAGCTTCGAGAAGGTTCCGATCTTCCCTCTCTCTCGCGTATCGTTCCGTCCTTCTCCCACACCTAGAAAATTCGTTCTAGAACATTCCTTCGTCAAAGGGGTATAACCAGGCCTGAAAACGCCTGAAAACGGGTTTCCTGAAATGTGTACCATTCGACTACGCGTGTTCTGAAACGGCCTGAAAAAATGTTTCAGGCTCCTGAAAACTAGGGTAACATTATGTAAATTGCGATTTTCTAATATGTGATTGACCCTTCCCTGAAACGGTCAGAAATCACATTTCAGCCTGCTGAAAAGTTCTCTAAGTAGTGGAAAAATGTAGAAACATTGTAGTCGACCCGTCTTCGTAACAATATGCTAAATGTAAAATAGGTAAATTTTTTTACTCATAAATGGCAACATAATGTCGCGCGATTACAGCGCTGCGTCTGGGGGACTTCTTTCATGAAAAGGACTATAGGTTAATTTTACAAGAGTTTAAGATTTGCCGCCAATTCACAAAAACAAATGACAAATGAATGCAATACACTACATTAGGTTACCAAAGAGTTCTGAAATTGAAATTCAAAAAAAGTTTTCATTAGCAATGTTTCTAACTGGCCAATTCTAAACATTTTCTTCTTTCAACTATATTCAAATTATATTATATTTAGCACTAGCTAACGTCCACGTGGTAAAGGCTTTCCCATTCTTCGCCGTTCGGTTATTAAAAAAAAATTAAAACGGAAAAATGAAATGAATCATGGTTTTCGAAAAACAAATGCACGAGTTTTAAAAATGAATTTGGAATTCCAAACCAAAGAAAAGATATTTTAGGTCAAAGAGGCCAGTACGACAAAACGCCAATATCATAAGGACCTATATCAATAAAATCAGATGGCATTTAAAAAAAAACATGTAAAATTCATTTAAAAAAAATAAAGTATGTCTTATTCATAGTCTAATATTAACTACACAGTGAAGACTAACGCTAATAAATTGGGTGCGTCTATAATTATCAAATAGCTATTGAATGTTTAGATAGTCCCAATCGCAAGCCTTTGTATATTAATTTACAAGTAATTAAGGTATTTTGTTAATGTAATGGTATCAGTTGTTTAGTCTATAGACTTAGATATCTTAAGGAGTCTAAAATAGGGAATAAATGTATCTTTGTTCCCGTATATACGTACTGGATTTGATTTACGGAGTCTTGCTCAGCGCGTAATTTCGTCCCTCAACACACTTATCCCACTATTCAATGGAAACACTAATTCCACTAGTCAATGAACTCGTGTATCTGTTAAATTGTGTGTAAACAGATATCAAAAGGTATTTTAGGGACCAAAGAGTATTCAAACAATTCCTTTTAGCTTTTATAAATATATTATATTTAAGGTTTCTTTTAAACGCATTATGTTCTACAACACTCGAAACTTTGATCCTCTGTATACATAGAAAGTTATCTCAAATTATCATCGTAATACACAGAGAAACTCGCACTTCACTTTTGATAATGTAATGTAACATCAAACGAATAATATGTAAATGTAAATTTGTTTTGTGCAAGTCAGAAATGGATTTCTGTTTTATGAATTTCATGAGCGGTGTGCTCACAAATGAATGAAATGAAAATTTTAAATTATTAATATGAACATTTATTCGGTTTTTTACATATTTAATTAATCTTATTGTATTTTATGAATGATACCATTCATTCATAAAATACAATTATTTTTTGATTATATAAATTAATTATTGTATATATATTTATATTATATTTTGTTAATTGGCTCGAAGTTCCCATTTCCCAAGTCCTCCTCCAACTATTGCCAAGTGCACTACTGCCCAATGATTTAGAGAAACTAAATATTTTAAGTAAAGTTTTAATTGCTAAATGTTATTTCTTACTCTCTCACAATATTGCTTTATGAGAAATAGCCCAAAATATAAACATTTGTCTGCAAAACTCCTATTTTGTCGTAATTTTTTTCCCAATTAGACCACAACCGTCCATTTGACATGAGGTTTTGTGTTGTTAATTAAACCAGTACAACTGCTTTCGGACGCTGAAAAACATTCTGGAATCTTGGAAAGTCCTAAACTCGTTAAGGATTGATGCCCGATGCTGAGGACTGAGGATTTCGTAGGATTTTTTGTGTTCCATAAAAAAGTACTCAACTTGCATACGTAATTCAAATCTTTGCAGTGCATAAAACAGTTCAGAAGCTTTGATCCTCACGTATTTCCTATATCGGAGTTTCCGATTAAATTAATCCGTGTGTAGGGCTTTTCCACTTTAATTAGCTGTTATAAAGTAGCTAATGAAGCGTCAATTAATTAAATCCTGTTACGAGAGGGAATAATTGACTTAATATGAGAAATTTATTGCAACTAATAACACGTAACTACAAGAAAATGTTCACTACTTCGTTACGTAAGAGTCAAGAAAAAATCGTATTATTTTATAACTGCAAAATATTTAGAAACTGTTTAAAAAAAACTTCCAAAGTACGAAAATGTTAGTATAATATTTTCTATTCGGTCTACCAAATCCAAAGAAAGAGGCCAAATCATTCAATCTTCCTCAATCTCCAAGACCAATCCCCAAACGGGATTTGCGTTTGTGAAAGCTAATTAGGCGTCGCAAATACTAACGAAATGAAGATTTCATTAATTTCACACAATATTATTAAGATAGAATTACAGAATTTTCTAGAACTATAACGTACAATAAAAATTAAACCTATAAAAAAACATAGTAACGATTGCTATTTGAATTAAAAAATACAATTTCTAAGCTACTATAAAACTTTTGTGAGTTTTACAGAACTTCTTTTTTTATATGTTTTTTTTATTGAACAGGGGAAAACGTGCAGGTGGCTCATCTGGTGTTAAGTGATACTGCCGCCCATGAACACTCAATGCTCAAATGAGGGCTCGCGGGTGCGATCTTGGCCTTTAAGTTTCTCATGTTTACGGGCCCAGTCACGGGCATTTTTAGGCTCTCTGAACTTCTAAAATACCGACGCGCTATTTAAAGTTTGTGATACAGCGCTGTTGTTGGGAGAATAACATCGAACATGCATACAAAAACTTCGAACTCAAAACGCTGTCGCTGGTAGTTACTTGAACCGCTGGTCTGATAAAAGAACATATTTAAAAAACATAACTACTTTCCCATAACGGTACTTTTTCTCAAAGTGACAGAATGACAAGAACAAAACATTCAGCAGCTATTTCAAGTTTACGTACGTTTAAGAATAGTTTAAGTTAAGATTGTATTGTTGTTTTAAGACTGTCGCAGTAATTAAAACACATCAAAACGTGCGAAATACGCTTGCCCGTGGTTTACACTAAGGAACTAAGAAAATCTTAAACAAATTTGCATGTCTTGAAAAGTTATCAATTACAGCGAAAAATGTGCTTTTATTCACGTCTTAAGATAGATAAAATATGCTAATATTTTTAATTTAATTTACCCGCCTTAGGGGATATTTGTCCCTCCTTTTCGGAGAACGTATATTGGCCAAAACTCACCGATGTCCAGATTGAGCATTCTGTTAAACGAGCTGTCTGGATGTCCATAGTTGTTCCCCTCACACTTTAAAATCGTTTTTCGTTTATTTTTTGTATAAATTAAATTGTTTTGTTTAATTTCTTTTTATTATCTCTTGTATGCTGTTTGCCTTTAAGTGCTTGTCACATTAAAAATGTATTTTATTTTTCTTGCACCGATGTATCAGTGTGGCGAGCGATGGCAAGCTTTTATAAATAATAGAATTATCTAAAATTATTGTTTATTTTAGTAACTAATTGCCTCCATATGAACATGGCATATAGCTTAAGGCCGACATGATATTAATTAAAATTAACCAATTTAAAAATTTTACTTAAAAGTCGTGATCAGACTCGCTCATTGAAAATAAGTAACTATAACTGTTACTTATTAAATTAATAAAATTAAGTACTTCAGTGCCCCTGCGGTAGTTAATTAAGCAATAAATCGAGCAACAAATTTCGTAGCTGAATTGTACGTCTTTAGATATATAATAAAACTATCTTAGGTTGGAGCGCATACAAAATAAGTTTACACGTTTTCTTATATATTACAGACAGTATGACATCTATCCCTGCTATCCCTTAATGTACCCAACATTATTTCTTAGTGATAGTGGGGTACAATGAATTAGAAACAAGACGGGACTTACAGTTGGCTTACTATATACTTAAAGTCTTGCAGGGGGTGGTAAGCAACCCAAGTGTTCTCCAAGAAATCAGTTTATTTGTACCGAGGGGATATGTGCAACAGCGAAGGGCTATCGACGGGGAACTGTGCAACCAGTCTGTTGCACAGATTCCCTTTAACAAAATGAATGCAAAGAATACTGTCTCGAACATTATCGACATCTTTATATGTTCGCAGAGTGAGTTTACAGTAGCGATATTGTGCATCTAAGTATTTATTATATATTTCATTTTTTTTCGACATCGTCGCATTGGCTACGTACTATAAGGATACTGTATGTATTTTAAATATTATTTGTACCGAGGCTTACCTAATGTAGAATCTATTCTAGAATCTATGTGCTCATCTGTGCTCGCTGATGTGACACAACCACCCATGGAATTTCTTAATCTATTAAGCAATTTAAAGGACGACTTTGATTACGGCCAAAACATACTTTGTAGCTCGACACCATCACTTCCATGAAAAGCAAGCCTTTTATAATATATTTTCTCCGGTTACAACCCGACTACTTTTTGTTCAAGGGTATTGAAGTGTGTGTAATTAAACACACATGTTTCATTTATTTTAATTCTAATTAAATCTAAATGGAACAGGGACATGAAATATAAATTACCCTTATTTGTCTTCGGCACGAAGTCAAATGTCCTGTCTTTAGACCTAAGATTAATTCCTGTGCCATCCACCCACACATAAGCCGCCAGGACGTCATCACAAGGTACTTCTAGGTCCTCATATTTGCGCATAGCAGCCTTGTTCAACGCAATTGGTACGGAATTCATCTTGAATGAATTTTATCTAAAAAATAAATAATCTTTATATCTCGAGTCATTAACGCGACGCGTTCCTGCTGTTGTAGTTATATTTATATATATAGTAACTTTGTTATGGAATTAAGTATTAAGTATGTTATGGAAGAGCTGGGAATCTTAAAAATACCTGTCACCTAGACACAGATATTTTTACCGAAAAGGTTTCTCAAATCTTACACATTGTAATGCACTTAATCAATAACACATTTTTAACTTTATTTTAATGGATTTTTTTACAGTAAAACGATGTGAAAGCCGGCATACTTAGACCGAATAATAGACAGCGTTTCAGGCACAAAGGCTGATTATTGTTAGCTTTTACTTTCGTTACTTATAATAGATTCCTGTGCCCAAGAAACGTTAGATAAAAGTATTCTTGAGGTGAAGGATTGCGTAAGGTAAATTTAATTATATTTCCTGTGTTGAAATAAATTAAATCGAAGACTCCTTTCAATTTAGCACTGGCGTAGACAAAAGAGTAAAACTGCATTCAGTCTGCATTAAAAGCACAAACACTTTGCTTTTGAAGCATTCATTCAATCCATAACTTTAAATCACAAAGAATTGTACACGAAATTTAAAATAAATTCTCAGCTTTCTATAAAACTTGTATTCTATAGTTTCGTTTAGTCCGTTTCGTTAATTAGTTATTATATTTTAATATTCCTGTAGACACATAAATAAAAGGTCAGAGACGAAAGCTATTGTTGCTCTAAGCCACGCAAAAAAACTGAAGTGGAAGTGGGCGCATGTAGCGCGCCTCACAGATCACAGGTGGACGAAAACAGTAACTACATGGAGAAGCCCACCAGCTATAATATATATTTCTGTGACGTCACCAAGCGATACCGTAATATACATTATTGCATATTACAAATGAAGGCAAAATATATATTTCTCAGTGTGTGGTAGCTTGCTATAATATATATTATAGTACGGTATATTAATATATATTATAGCTAAGTCTGTTAAAGCTTAAAGATGGCAAGCCTTGGAGGAGGCCTTTACCGGAGAGGGTTCCTGATACATACTAACTGTTAAAGGTAATAACACATGAGATAATTTAGATATTCGTGTATACCTATCTATATATATAAAAGGAAAATGGTCTTCGTTTGAGGCTCCTTCACGCCTAAACCACTGATCGTATCGACATGAAACTACCACCATTCGATGCGAAATTTTCCCTAGATGGTTTATGGCTTATTTATTAAATTCCATTTATTGCTGTTTTACTTTTATGAAAATTTATCCATACGGACTTCACCGCGGAAACATTCGGGGAGGCTTCCTAGAACCTCTAAACGTCAACATCTGTTAAAAACTCGATTTTCGAAATATTTCAATTTTCTTAGCGGGAAGTTAAAAAGAAGAATAATAAAAATATGAAAAAAAATAAAATAATGAAACATAAAATTTATTTTAATTCGTCCAGCAAAGCGGGCGCGAAACGGCTAGTATTATATAATAGCCAACACTTGGACACAGTTCTGGTCACTGGGTGAGATAATGAAAGACAATGAAATGCCAAAGTTACGCACTGTGTAACCATTGCCCGTACGGTAAAAATTACCTACTAAAGCTTAATGATGTGACTACACTCGAGCCATAAAGATTACAGCGCGTATTTTTATTAGTATTTCAGTATCGACATAAAATCTTCTTTCTATATCAAAACGGTTTTCTCAAAGTTAGAACTCCAATATTGTCGAAATGCTGATTCCTTATATACGTACATATTAAATGAAATTTGAACAGTAAATAGAGAGCCTTTATAATATCCAGTCGGCTGTAAATAAATCGAAAATCCAATAAAGCTTTTATTGCTTTTACGTGGGATTTCGTATTCTTGTTCAATTGAACCTTGATGTATATAATACTATTAAATATTTCTATAATAAGTATTTATATTTGGTTCTCGTCTTTGTATACAAAAAAAAACGTTATATATGACGTAGTAAGAATAAGGCAAAAGGAATGACAAAGACAATTGACCGGAAAAGAGGGTAACGCTGGCCATAGACGGACCGCATGTTGCAGTCGAGACCGACTGCTCTAGAGCGGTCGCGTTTAAGTCGTACACGACTGCAACACGACCGCATAATGCAGTCGGCTACGACTGCTTGGAGCAGTTGTGTTCGACCGCAAAATAATACTGATGCGAGTTCATTTACAAGATGGATTTCGATGAAGAAACACTGCTACTTGTACTACTATTACGCAAGCGTAGGCGTAAAAGACACCGTAGTATGTGGGTGCGTCCAATACTACAATCAAGAGAACAGCATGGAATATTTAATACTTTGTATCACCAGCTGAAAGAAGACACTAAAAAGTTTTTCAACTACTTTAAAACGTCCGTGGTTTCATTTGATGAATTAGCTAGTATTTTATTTTATTTGAGGGAGTGGCGCGCGGTCGGCAGCAACCGCTTGTAGCGGTCCGTGTATGGTGGGTCCGGCAGCTCTAAGCAGTCGACCGCACGACGAAACTCGACCGCAGAGCGACTGCTCCGACCGCTCAGAAATTGGTCGTGCGGTCCGTGTATGGCGGATATGAATTTAGTATGGAAACTGCAGTTCGCCGTGCGGCGACCGTTTAGAGCAGTCGGTATCGACTGCAACATGCGGTCCGTCTATGGCCAGCGTAAGACAGACAACGTGGAAGCGGATTGAGAACTAGACACAATAACAAGAAAGCACGACCAACAGATAAATTTTTGGAGATAAGGAAGGAATAATTAGGTTGTGGGCATAAGCCGTTTAATTTCGAAATTTAGAGTCAACTTTTTAAAGGCTTCTACATGCTTCTATCGATGTGGCAACTCACAACAAATAAATCACTAGTATTAACGGTTTTCATGGACCTTTGTTACCGCCACTAGCAATGTACATTTAACTGAAATTAATTAATACCCTAATCTGCATTCGTATTCTACAGAGTTAGGAAAGTAAACATTTTGCTAAACATTTTCTTTTAGTGACTATCTACAAAAAAAATATGGGCATTCAAATCGATGGTCCATATTGGAAAGTTTAGCCCTGCGGGACATTTCCCGGATTTGCCGGAGAAAGTTTACCTATAAACAAAAATTATCAATGAGACGGATACTAATAATTTATATATATACTAGCAAACCGGCCAAGCGTTGCTGTGGCTAAGGTTTTTTTTATAATACATAGCAAACTATTCAAGGGAAATGGAAGGACAACACCAGTCATGGGGACCACCATGCTTTTTTGGTGGTTATGCCATTAAATTGCAGCTTATTTCAAACGGTGGTACTTTCAACACAGCGCTATCTGTTAGAATTGTGACTATCAAATAATAAACAAATATTTTGCAATAAAATAATATTGCGGGTATAAATTGAGATGTAAGCTATCCTATCTTTTAAGTTAGATCAAACTGCACACGGTGTGCAAATTTGATTGAAATCGTTTCGGTAGTTTAGGAGTCCATAGCGGACAAACAACGTGACACGTAATTTATATATATTAAGATTATGACAGTTGTGGCTCCAATTCGGATATTTCTGGACTTTGCGGAGACAATTTTTATAGTCTACATTACTTCTGATGAAAACTAAGCCCTCTATCCATAAATTCTGACCCAGCGGCACACGTCAGCTACTATTTTACGATATCGAAAAGCACTAAACAATATTGGAGTTATGAAGTTCATTTCTGTGATTGAACCGCTCCTATCACGACCGAACTAGGTTAATTCGTTTCACGACGTACTTATACATAGTACAAACAATATTTTTTTATATATCTTCGTTACAAGCTTGAACCTAGGCTTTTCTGTATACCTACATTTTAGTGGTCATAATTACATGCGAAAAGATTAACAATCTTCTGTAGGACATTATTTTTTTATTTATTGAGAAACATTTACAGCTTATTACTAACTTACTTACTAAATACAATATTCTTTTACGGCATTAAATAAATCTTTACAAATAGTTAAGTTCTAATAATATTAACTGGATTGTTAACAATAAAATGATTAACTATATAAATATATATCAAAGAAAGTAATAAACTAAGTAAAAATTGGTTAAGTAACTAGTATTATAACTAAGGGCTGATTTCACCAATGTCGTAGTTATCCGAGAATAGCTATACCAAGGATAAACATATTCGCTTGAATTTAATCCCAGACTACTCACTTTACATTTCACCATGTAAAACATCCGATAAACTAGTCTCAGATTAGCTATTCTTTGGAATAGCCGTTATGCTTATCTGTGGAAGTGTATATTGAGTGAACGAACGAATGAGTGTATAATGAAAACAAATTAAATGTGCAATTTCTTTAAAGAACATGAAGGTTAAATGGAACTTTTTACTTTAGTTGGATTATACGTCAGTTTGAAGCTGTCATGGAACCTACTTTGTAATCTGTGGTCAGGTCATAGAAGCTTTGTTTTGCCTGAGTGTTTATTTTGGTTTTGATTTGAAAGAAGAAAATAAATAACAGAAACAATATCGTTCATGATAATGACCGCTAGAAAAAGAAGTCCTAACTGGCAAATGTACCAGTAATCCTACCTGATAACTGACCATTTTAAGATAGTGGAAAACAAGCGTACCGACGCAGTAACCATGAAAGAAAAAAATGCTGAGTGGAGTAAAATATCCAATGAATTCAATTCGCAAACCAGTTTCAGCCACAGAACCGCGGAAAATTTAAAGGCACAATGGGAAAGCTTAAAAAAATTCACCAAAAAAGAATCTGCTGCTGCAAGGCAGTACATGATTCAAACAGGTAAAATCATTTTATCATTTTACATGCTTATTTTCGCAGCTAAAAGCATCTTCATGATAAACCTATGTTGGTACTGTGACATTCTTAACTATATTTGATTTTTTGTTTAGGTGGGGGACCTGCAAAGCCTAAATCTGACGACCCGTTATTTACCCGGATCTTGGGTCTTATTTCAACAGTTGCTGTTGGACTCGAAA